TGCTAGTTGTCGAATACTAACTATTTCAAATTTTATTCTATACAGGTACTCATATTTAAATATTACGAGTTTTTTATTTTAATGACTATGGGTACAGGTTACGGGACAGCTAGTTCCGTCGCGCCTATGATTTACAACTATCTCGATCTGTGCTATCAGCTGCATTGGAACGAACCAAACAACTTAAAATTAGAAACGCTCTTCCCCCAAAATTATATGGTTTATCAAAATTACACAAGGATGACATACCTTTGCGACCTATTGTATCATATGTGTACAATCTCCTTTTAGTTCTTTATCCAAATTTTTAAAAAATGTTTGAAGAAACTGTGTCACCGCACAAGCAAGTATCTAATAAACTTTTTATTTATTTTTAATCTTTATTAATTTTTGTGCCCGGTGGCGTAGAGGTACAAGCTCTCGTCTACCAATCTCAAGGCGTGGGTTCGAATCCTGCACCCGGCATTTCATCAGCCGACTATTTTTATTAAAATAAAAATAGTTTGGGTACCAAGGTCGACTCAGCTTTAAATGAGTCCTTGGAATTCATAATCCTGAGGTAATAATAGGCGGTTGAAGCGTAATGCCAGCCACATTACCTTCCTTGTATACCGAACGGCTCTAGCATGGCAAGCTGTACCTTGCTACTCCCAAGGCGTTAAACGCTATACGGGAGCTATTATTATATTATTATTATTATTTCATTCCATTCTCTTCTCGCCTTCTTAATTGACGGTAATAGGTGAATCCGGGTCTCAACAAGAGACCTAAGGTATTATATATATATATATATATATATATATATATATATATATATATATATATATATATATATATATATATATATATATATATATATATATATATATATATATATATATATATATATATATATATATATATACATATATTATTATTATTATTAATTTTTGTGTTTTACAACAAAAATACGAATAAGTACATATTTATGATTTTTCTTTAGCAGAGATGGTTTCTGTGCACCTTGTATATTTGAGATTATTCATTTCAGAGCGTCTTTCATACAGCATGAATCAAACAAAGTGGCTAAACTTGACACACATTCAGTGGCCAGGCCAGCGGTCATGAGAGCTGGTGATAACGGTAAGTAGTTTGCAATTTTTTGAAATTTAAAATGCTATTTTTTTAAAATGCTATTTTATATAGATATATAACAGATATGCTGGATATATCACTAGGATTTATACTAAAGTTAATATTTCTCTTCTCGTTTTTTTATTTTTATTTTTTGTTATTTTTATTTTATTAGGTATAAAAGGCCATTACTACCGTTTTCCAGTTCAAAATATTCTACTAAAGTTGCGATGAGTTTTTTACTGCTATTAAGCTATCTTGTACTAAAAGAGGTTCTAAAAAGAACAATATTCGACTGCAAGGTCTGCTAGTAAACATTTTTAAGCGTAAAGTATCACAACACTATACAGGGTGATTCCTGTAAGTCGGTCATGCTTTCAAGGAATGATAGGGGACGTCGAAATATTAATTTTGATATAGCACATTATGGGTCGGAAATGCCTCTTACGCAAGATACAAGGTGTTAAAGATTTTGAGAAATTAAACATATTCTTTAATAGTTTTTTAACAGTTGAAGGTATCGTTATAAAATTTTATTATAGGAGTCTGCCTAACAGAGACACTTTAAATGTAAAAAAAGCATGTTTTAGTTTCAACCAGTGGCGTAGCTGTGATACGCATCGGGTAATATTTTCAAAAAAAAAAAATAGTACGCCGCTAATAAAAATAAAAATTTCGGAGTTTTTTTTATTTACTCGGTTTATTTCCAAGAAAAAATGCCTCTTGCAACTTTCTTCTATCTAACACCATTTTGTCACAATTTAAAAATAAATATTTTTTTAATGAGAACCTTAAATATGCGAATTATTATAACTACCTTAAAACTACGAATTTTATTATTAACAATAAAAAAAGTTTATATTTGTAATTTTTTAAAAATTTATTTAGAGCTAATAGTAAAAAGTACTAAAGTTACCCAAGATGAAGGGAGCTAACGATGCACATGTGTTTCTGCCCTCTAGTTATAGTGTATACTGTATTCCTATAATGAAATTTTATAACGATACCTTCAACTGTTAAAAAACTATTAAAAAATATCTTTAATTTTTCATAAACTTTAACACCCTGTATCTTGCGTAAGAGGCATTTCCGACCCATAGTGTGCTATATCAAAATTAATATTTCGATGTCCCCTATCATTCCGACTTACAGGAATCACCCTGTATATATTTAAACCAAAACTCGTAATACAAAACTAAAGTGTCAAAACGAATGGCAATGTCAGGAAATAAATAAATGTGGCAACTTGACGTTTTTTTAGAACTACCATCTGAATCCCCAGCGGGAAATTTGGTATTTGACTTGTGTACGAACGTCGTTCATTACGTGATCTATACCTTTGAGACAGCTTAGACCCCAGGTGCCAACGCCCCCCACCCAACGTATGACGTAAGATTTATTTGCTTTCTGATTGGTCATAGATAACTCCTCCCTCTAGGTTCTGGGCTTTCTCATTGGTTGTACAGGTAACACCTTTTCAATTTTGATTCGCCGGCAAAATCTTATCTTTTACTTATGAAGCTCGCCCCGCCCCTTTACCCATTCCTAGGCCACGCCTACTTCCATCAGAAAAATTACCCCCACCACTTGGGTACCAAAAACGACAGAATGGACCTTCATAAGAAAAAGCATGGGATTTTGCGGCCGAATTCCCCTTGCTTATCTACTTGACACTATTGAAATATTTTCTTGTACTTCTAGGCCAAGACGTCCTGGACCACTCAGCAAAACTCCTAGAAGCATCCCAACGCAGCCTGCACCAAGTCGACACTACCCCCGCCCTCCAAAGAGCGGCCAAAGACGTGAACGCGGCCATCCAGCGCGCCGTGGGTTGCCTACCCGGTCAGAAAGATGTTGACTTCGCCATCACTAACATCATAGAATGGATCTTCACCATAGAATCAGGTCGTTTTCCACCTACTTCCAAGTCTTATGGCGAGCTCAAACACGAACTGACCACTGCTGCCGCTAATCTAGACCAAGCCAGTGCCTGAGTGGTTCATTCGGTGCATAGTCCGGTGCAACTGACCTCGTCTTCGAAAGATTTTAGTTCGGCCTTCCACGACTTGCTGCAGGTGTCGCTGGAGATGGCCGGACAGACTAGCGAGCTCTCCGTTAGAGGTGAGATGGTGCATTTGTTGAAGAGCGTGTCAACTTCGTCTAGTGCGCTGTTGTCCACTGCAAAGTCTTTGTCTGCCGATCCGAATCTACCTAATGGGAAAAATCAGTTAACCACAGCTGCAAGGTAATAATAGAGCTATTATTATTTACATATTGTGACGAACTTATGAAGGCATTTTCAGTTTCAAAGGAATTTTTATTTACTAGTAATTTAACTTGGTAATAGTTTCGACGTTTGTCAACATGCACGCCCATTTTTTGTATTGATTTCTCTATAAGAATTTAATTAATTTCAGAGTGGTTACTGACAACATCAACCACCTCGTCATAATGTGCACTTCAGCAGCCCCCGTCAGAAAGAGTGCGATAACGCCATAAGCTAACCAATCAATGACCTTTCGTATTTCGAATCGTTAGAACAAGTGATAGAGAAAAGCAAAGTTCTGGGCGAAGCCATGACTGATATCACTCTAACTGCCAAGAACTCCCAATATGAGAAATTTACTGAACACATCAAGAACTTCAGTGGAGGAATATGTTCTTTGGTAGAGACTTTAGCACAAGCAGCTTATTTGGTAAGTTGTCTTGTTAGGGTTTAGGACCCTAAAATAAAACATTTTTTCTTATTGGTCTCTTTAAGTCGATTCATAAAAAACAATTCTAATTCTAAATTTCAGGTCGGTGTATCTGACAGTTCCCCCATAGCAGGCCGCCCAGGCCTAGTAGACCAGATTCAATTCGCTCGAGCTTCCCAAGCCATAGCCCGCGGTTGCGAGGCTTTATCCAACCCTACCAATCCCCAAAAACAAGTCCTAGAAGCCGCAACAATTATAGCCAAGCACACCAGCGCCCTGTGCAACTCTTGCCGAACGGTGAGCTCCAAAACTAATAACCCCGTCGCTAAAAGACAGTTCGTGCAAAGTTCCAAAAGCTGTTGACAATTCTACGCAAGCCTTGGTAACGGAAATCAAGGCTTTGGATAGCAATTATTCGGTGCTAAATAGAAGGAGGTGTGCTGAGGCTACCTGACCTTTGCTGGAGGCTGTGGAGGATTTGTGTGTCTATGCTAGTTCTAGCGAGTTTATTAATATACCTGCTAACCGCTAATTAATATCTCCGCAGACTTTTGAGGCACAGAAGCCTATTGTAGGGGCTGGTAATAGATTTATTGATAGTTCGTGCTTTGTTATTTCTTCGGCGAAAAATTTGATTGTTATGCCGAAAGATCCGTCGACTAGGCAACAGTTTGCCAAGTCTTCCAAGGAGGTGTCTGATACTATTAAGCAGTTGGCAGATAATATTAGGTAAGTTATATAGAGAATTTTCAGCAATCTTTCAACATTGCGTCGTTATTATTTCTATTTTTATTAATTTTTATTTGAAATTAAATGTCTAATATAGAGAGAGAGCTCTAGGAAAGAGCGAAGCTGACCAAGCCCAACGTATCCTGAACAATCACCTCAAAACACTCGACGCAGCCTACATGGACGCTGTTTCCCAACCTCTCAAGCCTAGGAGAGCCACTACACTACCCATATACAGCCAACAAGTTGACAGGTACTACATACAGTCAATTAGTTCTTAATCTTATTTGAATTAACATTGGATGTTTCGCACTTTTCAGAGCTGCAGCAAGTTTGAACGATACCATCGAATCCTTGCGTCAAGCAGGCAAGTATGAAACTGAAAACATTGGTCACAGTTTGACTCAAATGATCCAGTATTTCGAGCCATTGGTATAGAATACTATAGGAGCTGTATCAAATATGACCAACTCTAAACAGCAAGAACAACTGTTGAATCAGGCAAAATCAGTGACGGAAAGCGCATGGCAGTTGGTGGATACTGTCAAGAACTGTGGCGGAAATCCTAAGGTAAGTAACTGATCTAGAAAAAACTAGAGATTTAACATTCCCTAATTTTTTTCTATTTATCGTTTTTTTCGTATTTCTCAAAACAAACGATATAATGAACTTTATGGTTGACTCAACCTGTACCAAACACAAAATATAGTTAAAATACAATAAAGCAATTTTCCAGTCTGTGAATATGCATCCTGCTTACGAAACCGCTGACATTACCAAGGAAGCCCTACAAGAACTAGTCCAATCTCTAGAGGTCATCTCCACCCAAACGGGCAAAGTGTCCAGCGTGGTGGACAACTTGACACGTGCCATGACACGATTGTCTGACCACAGAGCCTCTCTAGTCATTTCTGACAGTGAGGGTTATGTGGACTATCAGACAAGAATGGTAGAGTGTACCAAAGATATCGCCAAAATAGCCAGTAAGTTTTATTTGATACATTTTTATGTGATTCAGCAATTTTTTTATTAATAAAAATGAATTAAATTTACCTAAGCCAGTATTTTTTTGAAATGTCTGATACCAAGTGTAAGAATATAGGTTGCTAGATATAAACTAAAGATAATCTAAGATATAAACTAAAGATAATCTGTAAGATAATCTAAGATATAAACTAAAGATAATCTGTAAACTAAAGATAATAAAGGGTGTGTTTGCTATATTTTCTACTTTTCTTAGGTGAAATGGCAGCTAAAGCCGCAACAGATAGCCAAGAATTGGCCAGTCTTAGTGCCAAGCTAGCCCATAAGTAAACACCCATAATAAAAATAAAATGGTAATTTTAACACATCCATCTGAAGAGGGCTTATAAAATAAAGTAAAATAATTAAAAGAATTTCTCAAATATGATTAATTTCTATGAGACACCTTTTAAAACAATCTCCCTTTTAAGGTGGTTCAACAACTTGGTGGTGCTTGCGTTGAACTCGTCCAGGATAACGGACAATGCCTCATCGCTAAAGACATCATCAGGGAGGATCTAAAGGTAAGACCAACCAGAGTACTTTATTATTAGTTGAAAGTGACTCTTTAATTTTTTTTATTTAATGATCCGTTTTTCTTTCTATGCACTCAGGCTTGTATCAACGCAGTATCTACAGTATCTGCCTTGGTTTAGTATGGAGACATCATCGGAGACATAGAAACGACCATAATGTTCGCTACTGCCGGAAACCTCAATCCAGAACACGAGAACGAGTCTTTTGCTGATCATAGAGAAAATATACTGAAAACAGCAAACGCCTTTGTGGAGGATACAAAAACATTGGTAGCTGGAGCTGCCAGTTCTCAAAAGCAACTGGCTGTGGCCGCACAGAATTCTGTTGCAACCATAGGTGAGTTGATATTACGCATTATTGAATATTGTATATTAATATTATTACGCAACTACTTTTCTTTTGATGCCAAAAGCAAAATAGTTTCTCAAAAGCGATAAAAAGGATATTTTTGCATTTTTTATTTCTTTCTTTCAGTTAAACTGGCCGAGGTTTTCAAAGGCCGAGGTTGTCAAATTTGGAGCTGCCAGTTTGGGCTCAGACAATCCAGACTCACAAGTAATGTTGATCAACGCTGTTAGAGATGTGGCTAGTGCTCTGGGTAATCTAATTCACGCCACTAGGGCTGCCAGTGGTAAACCAATTAATGATCCTGCAATGGCGCATCTTAAAGACAGCGCCAAAATGACTTATACTCAAATTAAAGACAGACGATTGATCAAGTCAGTGTCAAAGACAGAGACGCTCATACAATCGAACGTCGCTGATATGTTTTCAACTATAATAAAGTGATTTACTTATTTACTTAGGATATAATTTCTAAGGTCTGTAGCTAAGGATATTCGTTAACTACATATATATTTTTTTGGCATCTGAATTGACAATTCTGATATTTTTGGATCGTTTCTAACCAACAGACAAAATGCTGTCATATTTTCTTCCTAATGTCAAAAAACTTCATATATTACTTTAAATACAAACGAAAAATACGTGATATTACCAGTATGTAAAGTTTGTCCAACGAGCGAGGAAAGATTTTGACAGACTACAGAAATTACACTTTTGTCTGTAAATTAAAATGACAGAGACAACTGTCACTGTCAGGGATTCTTCTGTTGTACAGTTTGGTTTTGTATGCATGTGGCATAAAAATTGTATATCTATCGTGATTTTTACTATATCATAAACTGTAAAAAAATAATTAGTGAATTGAGTGAGGTTAGGTTATTTAAATTTAAATATATATAAAAAGGAAAATAAAAGTTTATAATGCCTTCTCTAATTTATAACATGCCTTGTAACTAATGCTTTCATTCCTAATGATTAACTTGACTAACAAAAAAAATATCGCTTATTAACAGATAATGTCATTCATCAACTAACTTAACCAACAAAACAGAGGTGGACTTTAAATAATATATTCCTAATAAGCCATATGTGTCGTCCTAATAAACGACAATCACCGCAGCTTGAACTCAACACTAAATACAATCGAAAAAAATTGGGTTGATCGAAATGTGCAGCGTCGAAAATTTCAATGCAGTAATTGTCAGAGACAGGGGCACACAGCCGAATATTGTCGAGTAACTGGTCCGATATGCTATGGATGTAATAAGATAGGCCATATAAAGCGACACAGTGTCCTGAAAATCAAGAGGGAGCATTTTTGATAAGAATTAGTGAGTCTAGTCCAGGAGACATTTCGTTATCTGTAAAATGTGCAGTTGGTGTGCAACATTTTAAAGTCCTGCGCGATGCCCAAGGAAAATTCTTTTTATGGGTGGTTAAATTTAATTCGCTCAACGAACTCGTCGAATACCATAGAACGTCTTCAGTGTCAAGGTCGCAAGACGTAAAACTGAGAGATATGGTTGTAGAAGAATAATTAGTACAAGCATTGTACGATTTTACGCCACAAGAGGTTGGAGAATTAGAATTTAACAGAGGCGATGTCATCACCGTTACAGACCGTTCTGATCAACATTGGTTTAAAGTCCTGCGCGATGCCCAAGGAAAATTATTTCTATGGGTGGTTAAATTTAATTCGCTCAACGAACTCGTCGAATACCATAGAACGTCTTCAGTGTCAAGGTCGCAAGACGTAAAACTGAGAGATATGGTTGTAGAAGAATATTTAGTACAAGCATTGTACGATTTTACGCCACAAGTGGTTGGAGAATTAGAATTTAACAGCGGCAATGTCATCACCGTTACAGACCGTTCTGATCAACATTGGTTTAAAGTCCTGCGCGATGCCCAAGGAAAATTATTTCTATGGGTGGTTAAATTTAATTCGCTCAACGAACTCGTCGAATACCATAGAACGTCTTCAGTGTCAAGGTCGCAAGACGTAAAACTGAGAGATATGGTTGTAGAAGAATATTTAGTACAAGCATTGTACGATTTTACGCCACAAGAGGTTGGAGAATTAGAATTTAACAGAGGCGATGTCATCACCGTTACAGACCGTTCTGATCAACATTGGTTTAAAGTCCTGCGCGATGCCCAAGGAAAATTATTTCTATGGGTGGTTAAATTTAATTCGCTCAACGAACTCGTCGAATACCATAGAACGTCTTCAGTGTCAAGGTCGCAAGACGTAAAACTGAGAGATATGGTTGTAGAAGAATATTTAGTACAAGCATTGTACGATTTTACGCCACAAGTGGTTGGAGAATTAGAATTTAACAGCGGCGATGTCATCACCGTTACAGACCGTTCTGATCAACATTGGTTTAAAGTCCTGCGCGATGCCCAAGGAAAATTATTTCTATGGGTGGTTAAATTTAATTCGCTCAACGAACTCGTCGAATACCATAGAACGTCTTCAGTGTCAAGGTCGCAAGACGTAAAACTGAGAGATATGGTTGTAGAAGAATACTTAGTACAAGCATTGTACGATTTTACGCCACAAGAGGTTGGAGAATTAGAATTTAACAGAGGCGATGTCATCACCGTTACAGACCGTTCTGATCAACATTGGTTTAAAGTCCTGCGCGATGCCCAAGGAAAATTATTTCTATGGGTGGTTAAATTTAATTCGCTCAACGAACTCGTCGAATACCATAGAACGTCTTCAGTGTCAAGGTCGCAAGACGTAAAACTGAGAGATATGGTTGTAGAAGAATATTTAGTACAAGCATTGTACGATTTTACGCCACAAGTGGTTGGAGAATTAGAATTTAACAGCGGCGATGTCATCACCGTTACAGACCGTTCTGATCAACATTGGTTTAAAGTCCTGCGCGATGCCCAAGGAAAATTATTTCTATGGGTGGTTAAATTTAATTCGCTCAACGAACTCGTCGAATACCATAGAACGTCTTCAGTGTCAAGGTTGCAAGACGTAAAACTGAGAGATATGGTTGTAGAAGAATATTTAGTACAAGCATTGTACGATTTTACGCCACAAGAGGTTGGAGAATTAGAATTTAACAGAGGCGATGTCATCACCGTTACAGACCGTTCTGATCAACATTGGTTTAAAGTCCTGCGCGATGCCCAAGGAAAATTATTTCTATGGTGGTTAAATTTAATTCGCTCAACGAACTCGTCGAATACCATAGAACGTCTTCAGTGTCAAGGTCGCAAGACGTAAAACTGAGAGATATGGTTGTAGAAGAATATTTAGTACAAGCATTGTACGATTTTACGCCACAAGTGGTTGGAGAATTAGAATTTAACAGAGGCGATGTCATCACCGTTACAGACCGTTTTGATCAACATTGGTTTAAAGTCCTGCGCGATGCCCAAGGAAAATTCTTTTTATGGGTGGTTAAATTTAATTCGCTCAACGAACTCGTCGAATACCATAGAATGTCTTCAGTGTCAAGGTCGCAAGACGTAAGACTGAGAGATATGGTTGTAGCAGAATATTTAGTACAAGCATTGTACGATTTTACGCCACAAGAGGTTGGAGAATTAGAATTTAACATAGGCGATGTCATCACCGTTACAGACCGTTCTGATCAACATTGGTTTAAAGTCCTGCGCGATGCCCAAGGAAAATTCTTTCTATGGGTGGTTAAATTTAATTCGCTCAACGAACTCGTCGAATACCATAGAACGTCTTCAGTGTCAAGGTCGCAAGACGTAAAACTGAGAGATATGGTTGTAGAAGAATATTTAGTACAAGCATTGTACGATTTTACGCCACAAGAGGTTGGAGAATTAGAATTTAACAGAGGCGATGTCATCACCGTTACAGACCGTTCTGATCAACATTGGTTTAAAGTCCTGCGCGATACCCAAGGAAAATTATTTCTATGGGTGGTTAAATTTAATTCGCTCAACGAACTCGTCGAATACCATAGAACGTCTTCAGTGTCAAGGTCGCAAGACGTAAAACTGAGAGATATGGTTGTAGAAGAATATTTAGGACAAGCATTGTACGATTTTACGCCACAAGTGGTTGGAGAATTAGAATTTAACAGAGGCGATGTCATCACCGTTACAGACCGTTCTGATCAACATTGGTTTAAAGTCCTGCGCGATGCCCAAGGAAAATTCTTTTTATGGGTGGTTAAATTTAATTCGCTCAACGAACTCGTCGAATACCATAGAATGTCTTCAGTGTCAAGGTCGCAAGACGTAAAACTGAGAGATATGGTTGTAGAAGAATATTTAGTACAAGCATTGTACGATTTTACGCCACAAGAGGTTGGAGAATTAGAATTTAACAGAGGCGATGTCATCACCGTTACAGACCGTTCTGATCAACATTCGTGGCATGGAGAAATAGGACATCGCCGAGGCCTCTTTCCTGCCACGTACGTTACGTCCTATTACACGTAAATACAAGTAAACGATGTCAAGTTTACAGTTAACAAAATACGCACCATACGAGAACTACATTATTTGGTAGACCCGTCACAATTAAACCAATTATTAAAATCGAAATTAAGAAAAACTGGACTATACAAAACATTTTTTTTATTTGCCATTTAAAGAAGCATGCTCTTCGATATTTTAATTTGTTTTTGTAATCTGTATGTAATGAAAGTGTTAGGAAGTGTCTTATTAAATACCCTATATTTTATTTGATTGATTACTGTTACTGGTATGTATTTTTATATTAAGTAAGTTTTGAAATTTATATGTTTTTCGTTACAAGTGAAAATGTGTTTGTTTTAATTTTACTTAATACATTGTATCCTGTGAGTAGATGAGTGAACAAATTGGTTTCATGCATACTATAGTATGTCCAACGGGAGGATCGTTTTCATTGACAGTTGTGCCTCTCATTTTAATTCACAGAATAGTGTAGAATATTTTTTATTAGTACTTGATTGTAATGTTAAATTTTAAAATTTTGCTTACATTTTGTAAAATGTTTGTAATATTTTTCCTAGAGTTAAGTAAATATACATTCAAGTGAATTGATGGACATTAAAATGTTTAGTTTATAGTTTTCCAAAGTTAATATTTAGATATTTTGTTTTTGTTAAAGAAGTTAAGATAGGCTATATTTTATTAGACTATTTAGCTATAAAGAAAAGGTTCTTGACTGCTTATTGATATTTTTGTTTTTTTATATAAATTCTATATGTATTTAGGCTATGACTTATTTTATTGGCTTAGTTAGGTGAACTTTATCAAGTGGATTTAACAGTTTATTTTGATTTTGATCTATCAATTACTTTTATAATTTTAAATTTTATACAGTTGAAGTATAGATTACTACGAGTAGTACGTTATTCAATAAGACATTTATTAGAAACTTTATTTTATGCAATATTTTGGAAACTTTATTTGACTGAATTTTGATTATGATTAACACCATATGAATTTTAGTATTTACAACATTTAATGCAGTAATGGTCGTTTGTAGTTTGTAAGTATATTGTAATACAGTGATGGAATTTTCACAACACAGGCACGGACTGAAATAATTTTCTGAATTTTGAAAAATAGGAAATAATTAATATTTTTCTTTTTTGTAAAGGAGGGAGTGGTGTGATGAATCGGTTGAAAATTCATTTAAAATCTTTTAATTAAATTATCAAATTCTGAAATTAGAAAATATATTAGTTTTCTATAGTAAATTTGGCTTAATCAGACACAATAAATAATTATATATTATTTTATAACTAATTCTAATAAAATATTAATTTAAAATTATTTAAATACAAGGTCAAGTTTTCTTTAAAAATCTACAAAGTCCAGTAAGTAAAAATTCTTCAATACTCTGAAAGAACACATTCCAGGAGCCGTCGTCGGCGGCCTGATTTTCGAGGTCAGTAAACAAAATTCCTTAGAAAAAATGCACCAATTAGAAAGCACGTAGCCATCCTAAAAAACGGTGGGACAATAGATTCTTCGAGAGAAGTGGCAAAATTTTACATATAAATACGGGTCAAGAAGTTCATAAAGGTAGTCTTTGGGCAAATATCAGTTACAGCTCGTCGTAATGCCCAAATGTTGACCGGTTTTTATCTTATTTTTTTTTAATTTAATAAGTAAATATTCTAGTCGGGAAAAATTATAAAGGTGTATGAACAGTCGTAATGTATCAGTCTTAATTGAACAGTTCAATAGTAACAAGTGATCAGTCCGCCCGCCAGTCTTAGTCCAGTAAATAAAATAAAAGTACTTAGTAAAAGTGAAAATTCCAGAACAGTAAGTGTTTGAACATTGTAAAAATTGACTTTTGATTTTTTTGGAATTTGATGGAATTTTTATGGAATTTAATAAACCTGTAAAAAGTGAACTCTTGTGTTTTAAGTAAATAAAAATTAAAAACTATAAAGAAAAATAACCTGTTTGCTCAAACTTAAAAGAAAACTTTATAAATCAATTTATTCTGTGAAATTTTGCATTCTGTTAATTTAATTGTTTTTTTTTATTTAAAACAAAACATATTTCTATTTTTATTTTATTAAAAAGAATAAAATAATCTACAATCAAAAGAGCTATGGAATAAATAATAAATAAATAAAACCCTTTCGAGATAACAGCCAAGAAATATATTTAAATAAACCCTTTTGAGAAAAGAAATAAATAAATAAATCCCTTTCGAGAAACAACCAGAACATCTTTATTGTAAAACTTGGAAAATAAGTTCGTCATAATAATGCTTTTATTTATTCACTACTCTAATAAACAATATGCATTCCTTCGGAAACTCTCTATTTATTTATCTAGTAATGCTAAAACACTCTATTTGAAAGTCGATTAGAGAAAATAGTATGATTCATTGGCAAGCGATGTAAATATTTGTAATCAGGTAAAATTGTGATGTAAGAGGAGGATTAGCTTGCCGGCGCGCGGCAGGTCAGTCAGTAGTTGATAGGCCGGCCGGCTGTGTAGTGTTGTGTTTTGTCACAGAGCTGATAAATGGGGGTTGCGAGTCTTTTGACTAACATAATTGCAAGTCGTTTGACTGTAAGCCAACGGGGTCGTTTGACCACAGGAAGAAAACCTCTTGTGACGTCGTTCCTTCGAGGATGGTCTTGAGAGTTTGAGGTCTCTCTTGCTTCTCGAATGACACCGCTCGGGCGTTGCGTGAGGACCCCAATTAGCCCCATCGATTGGGATGCGAATCTGTTTAGCGGCAGATTTGCGTCCGGAGGAAGCCCCTATACTATTTCAGGTGGCACTAGCTAGTTGTTGAAGATTATTAACTATATATGCTATAATATATAATTAGATGGAAGATATGGAATGGGATATATAGAATAGAATGTCAGTGATGTCAGTGGCTAGGGGGCGGAGTACCCCCGGGTCAGTCTTACTATTTAACTATCAATTTTATCCAGATCAGTAAATGTTTGTTTTGCTATTTTCATGTACAATGAGTCCTTGCATAGTGCTTGCCAATGACCAACTAAATGGATATTTGAGGTGAATTTGCATTGTGAGACCCGGTTGAGTAAGCCCCAAAAAAAATAGCGATTTTACATTATATATATATATATATATATATATATATATATATATATATATATATATATATATATATATATATATATATATATATAAAAGATATACAAAATAAAAGAAAATACAGGTACATATTCAAGCTATTGCACTGGAACTTCGAACCCTGGTTGAGAGTATATATTCAAGCTATTGCACTGGAACTTCGAACCCTGGTTGAGAAAGAAGTTTTGACCTACGTAGCTTAAGAGGTAAGTACGTCGGAATCATTACACGCTATTCAAATTCGCTTGTCGCTATAACTGACATGTGCGCCTACAATTATAAATTGAAACACAACCAAAATTAATAAAGACCTAACGAGCCTAACGAACGCTCTGAAATATTAATTTCGGAACGCACTTGAAATTTTCAACAACCAATAAGAACCGATCTCAGACACACGCTAAAGCGGATATTGGATTAAAAATTATGACCTAGTTACAACAAAACATTCTAAAATGACTAGATGGATCATTATGCAATAATGATACACAAAAAATATGAATCATAATTTAAACAGATGTACAATTTGACGAAGTTCTGATAATAACTGCTCAAAAAGTATAATACTTCAATTCTTCATCATTATAAAAAAGAAATCATCTTGCGATCATCTGGCTTCTAATTCTTATGTTATTAACAAAATATAAACCTCAAGACTGCAATAATTTGTTGCTTTCACGTACAAAAATCCGAATATGCATCATAAATCGACAACATTAACAAACATGTAAATAAATAAATAAATGCCTTTATTGTCAAAAATTTTTACAATTTGTAGACAAAGGTAAACTAAACAAACAAAGTAAACAAACAAGGTACACAAACAAGCAAACAAAAGATAATACAAAACATTATACAAATAATATGGTTAGTCTTATTGTTTAAAATAAACATTTAAAAATGTTTAAAATGTCAAAGAATAAAAAAAGTAAAAATAATATTCAAAAATATTTAGTTAGTTTAGTAAATATCACTGACCTCTAAATAAATTTATTTCAATGTCATTGGTAAATATAGCAATAACAAATATTAGACCAGTGTTTACATGATCAAATTCGATTATCAAAATATAATTCATTTACGGCGTAGAAAGCCTTGTCTAGTAAATAAGAGTTCAATGCTTTGCGAAATGAAGAAAATGATGTTATAGATTTGATTTCAAATGGCAGGTGATTGTGCATTTTTTTTGGATATTATGGAGCTTGGATATGAAAAATCAGAACGTCAAGCTGATTTATATTCATCTAAATCATGTTTAACCATACCTATTTTTTTGTAGATGATTCGTTTGAACAATGGTATAGGTTGGTGTGGAAATACAATTGAAGGAGGCTCAAACTGGGCGTTGTTAGATTAGAGAGAAAAAGCAAATTAATATAAAGAGATAGAAATTGAAGAACAGGCGGGTTTTAGAGCGGGAAGGTCTACTGTGGATCATCTGTTTACAATAACACAGGTCTTAGAGAAAAAACGTCTAAAGATCAAGAGGTGCACTTACTATGTTTAGGATTAAAATAAGTTTTTTTAATTTATTTAAAATAATAATTTTAAATAAAAATTTTTTATTTTCGTATTTAATAGTGTTTTTTGTCGCGTAATTTTTTGTTCGCCCGCTTCACGCGGAAGCAGTAGTACGACGAGTCGAAGAGAAGTGTTCGAACGGGGCGAGTATGAACACAAGTGATCCGCTGATCCTTAAATTTGCTGTTGACCAGAGACGCTGCAGATTTCGCAACAAAACAAGGTTATCCGTGCGCCAATTGTCTGACCCTCGAGCAGAACCTGTCGATAGGTCCGCTGGGCCCGCAGTCCCCCCTCGAGATGAAGCCGGACGCGGCCGCCCTCGCATGCAGGTGGACATGCCGCTGGAGAGGATAGTGGACGCGGAGAAACGGGTGGAGACTATGTCTCTTGAAAATATCAACAGCAACATTCGCCAAGCCTTCAATGCTCACTTAGCTCACCTGCTGGTATTATGTAAAAATTGCTCGTAACGTAGAAATATACCTTTGCTTAATAATAATAGATTCAATAGTATTCTTTTCATTAATAAACATATGGATTTTGAATTTAAGGATAGTTCAAGACACCCCACAAAATTTTA